GTGTAACAGGTTCATGTTCATGGTGCATGGTTCCCTTGAAGGGATGCGTTCTCCCAATTTGGCTATGGTTTTTGGATTGCGAAGTCAATGTCGAGACAGTCGGTCGATTAAGCGACGTATTGAGAGGCGAAAAAAGAAATCGGTCAATGCAACTGCAAGCTCAACAGGATCCTTACCACCAGGTGGATGATCGTCCCTGTTTTCCCCAGAAAAAAAAGAAGGTCTGTTGACCATGGCACAGGTCATAAAGGCGGAGGTACCCTCTTTCCCGCGCGGGCTCCACCTCTCAGGCTTCTCGAAGTTGTGGTCCCTCAAATGGCAACGGTGATTTTTTGGTTCCCTTTGAATACTAAAGGGGGTCGTCTACTATGTTGAGAAACTCCCTATTCTTCCCCTGTCAACATCAGCCCACAAGAGAACTCACTTGGCCCAACTGGTGATGTTTCATTTAAACCAAACGGGAGATAAAGGGGAACCTTGTTGAACCACCCATCTGCCCTTGAAATCCTCAACCAAAAATCCTATCCAAAAACACCTTCCTTCCTACCATCTGCCCTCTCGAGTTGGTTTCGTTGCGCCCACCCATGGCTCTTTTGAGTCTTTGAGCCGTCCATTTGCCGACATATGCCCTTTGAACTAGACTTGATTCCAAAGAACTCCCTGGTCTTCGAATCCGTGTACAGTATCCCACTGTCAATATTAGTCCGCAGAGTCTCCTCCTACATATCATCCACTTAGTACTGTCATCCGGTTGGCAGGTGGAGCCTCACTCTGTACACCAGAATTGATATTCTCATTGAGTTTGCTTCATGGTCTATCTAAAAATCCATTGGAGAAGACCCCAGCTTCATCCATCACTGGGATGCGTTTTGCGGATTTTGTCCATCCACATCCCAGCTTATTGGATCTCAGTTGTTCAGTGACCCTGGGAAAAAAAGGGAACCTTTTTTGGGGAAGACCATTTTTTAGTGGGGCAGCCACCCAAAAAAAAGGGAACAAGAATCAGTGCTACTGAACAACTGCGGGACTCGTCAGACCGCCTCTGCAAAGGCTGGCAGGGCAGACCGGCCGCCGCCATGGCCGATTTGTTCACGGACGGCGAATGGACCTGCGATGGACGAGGGCGATGGACGGTGCGCCCAACTGAAAAACCTTTGGCTGAGAATGGGCTGGAATCAAGGCGAACGAAAAAAGCTCGATTTATGTTTTCCGCGAAGGCAACCTTCGGTCAAAGCAACCCTGTGAAACCACGCTCTACCTGTTTGCGTTTTGAGTCACACGATTCAATGTAACGTGAAGCGAGTGCGGGTAAAATCCTCTTTTAGGGCAACGTTCAACCCAAGGTGTCAAAAGGCAACCCCGCATCTTCACACAAACCCCGAGTCGTATGGACTGTCAACCAGCGCTAGTGAGCTTCGTTAGGACTTGTCAATTAGAGTGGAACTTGCGCATCGCTTCCGCATGGCTTCAACGTGCGCCTTGCCATTGTTGAAGTCGTGGCTCCTGCCAGTTCGCTGTGGTTGGCCATGCAAGGGCAAGATCGGTGCAATCAACTGGGGGCCCTTTAAAAGTGGACCAGTATAGATGCCACGGTGAGAATAGTCACGGCTTTGATAGGAATCATGTTCATCGTTCAGGATCCTTACGAGGTGGATGACCATCCCCGACCTCCAAGGAGTGAAATTCGATGGCACATATGATCGCTAAGCAACTACGGTTTACATTTCGACCTTGGGACCAGGCACTTCGGGGAATTCCGGCAACCAGCAAGGTTGGCCCAAAGACCCTGGGAGGGTAGACAGTTGGCCCCTTGAGTGGTTGAAACCAAAGCAAGCCACATGTTCCACGCAAGCTGTCGGAAATAAGCAAATCGTTTGGGAACGGCTTGGCGCAGTGAGTTGCAAGGGACCCGTCAAAAGTGGAGCCAGCTGCCTTTGATCTGGTGCTTTTGCACGGAAGATCCAATAGGTTTTAAAAGACATCCAAGGCCTGTACGATATTTCGAAACAGTCGGTCAATCAAGTTGGCAACCGCGCCCCTAGGAGTCGATTTGTTTCTAGTAACTTGTCAAGTTGCTAGAAACAAGCTGACTCCCATCAACATACCGACTTCCATGCGACCTGGGGTCTCAAAGCCGAGCTGACTTGCTTCTCTACCTGGATGCTTAGACATGGCCGAACGATAATCCCCCGCCCAATTTGCAGGAACTTTTAGAGCTTGCAACTGCGCAAATGACGGATCACCCTTGATGCCCTTTTGTCTTCGTTTCTTCGCTCGATTCCCTGCGGCTCTGAAAATCAACATTGAACCCAAAAGCAGGTTCCCCCAAAACGAGTTTCCTCTACAAATTGTTGTCGTTGGGTTCCATGTTCGCCGTTAAGGGAGTATTTGACTTTTTTCGTCACGTAACTACAAGGTCCGATCCCAACTTTCCCTCTCAATCTTGCTGGCAAACCCGGACGAAGGGTTCAAGTTGGGCTACCACTGCAGGTTCTCGCTCAAAAAAACAGGGAGTACATCAATGGATCCCAAAGGGGACAAAAACAAGAGATGGTTGTCGGGGTCGACTCCTTCCCTGTCAATAAAACACCAGCAGCTCAGCGGCTCCTGGTGATGATGCTGTCTCGCCCTGTACCTCGGGCAGAAGTCAAACCAAGCTGCGCGGTCTCCCCGGTTTCTCTTTGTTCATCTCGGAAGATACACGCTGACAACCCAAAACATCTTGGTTGCTATCTGCTCCCCTAAAAGTTGAACTTTTAGTGGTTTAGTGGAACACCCATTAGTTGGCAAAAAGTTAAAGTCCTGACATCCAAGCAAAATGCACCAAAGACATGGTTTACCGATTCGCGATTCCTCTATGCTTGGGTGTGTCTTGTGTTCCATCTGAGGCTTCTGAATTCTCGGGAGGTACTAAGAACACATGCAAGGAATGTGCCGCTAGCAAAGGGCCGATGAAAGACAGTGTCAACCCTAAACAGCCCACGGCGGAATGTTGTGTCAACACGGCACATCATCCAGCGCAAACTCGCAAACTCCCGCAAAATCCGGTAGTTGCAAGCGCCATGCGCTTGCCGAAGCGGACTGAGGGCTTCGGCCACTTGGAACGTAGACATTGTTGATGCCTCGAAGACCTCGGCAACTTGACGAATCGAAGCCCGGGAAGCGAGGAGTCTACCCGAACCTGGGCTGTCCTCAGATCCCCCGCTAAAAGTGACTAACTTTTGGTGGGTTAAAAATGGAAATCCCCCCTAAACGCTAGAAGGCTAAAAAGCTAAGGACCCGGATGGCTGGGTACCACCAAGAAACCAAGGGCGTCTTGCAGCAGCTGTTTGTGGATGGGAACAGGCCTCCTACTAAGCTTCAACCACAAGGATTTTGATTGTGGCCCTGCTCAGTTGGCCAGGGGCGATGTCAAGCCAGAAAGAGTGCAGCTCACACATCACTGTGTAAAAAGCACGGCATGTCTATACTTACCAATCAACGCGGCGTGATTCTCTGCGCTTGTTTCGGTCTGTGCATTGCTACAGGCATTCCCAAAGGGACCAGCTGTGAAGCAAGAAGAAAGCAGCTACTGCCTGTCCCCTGTATTGATCCAACCACAAAACCGTTTCCACGTGATTCAAGTCCAAGTTTGCACCCACACCATTCCAATCCGACCAGGAGTGGATGCCAGATCAGGACCCCATATTTCCTACGCACCCCACCTAGAGGATGCCTTGAAAGGCAGAAGGGCATTTCTAAGGGATCCCACATGATTGCCAAGCTACAGCGAAGAAACTGAGCAAAAAATACCGGGTCTGGGGGAGGGCAATCCTGCACACTAGCGACATCCTCCTTCTGACGCGAGCATTAAAAATCACACAAAGAGCCCGAGCCAAAGCCCTAGATGCGTCAAGAAGCCATCGGGTACCCCACGGCCCGGGCCTATGGGCTCTGTGAAATACCCAGCTCTCAGCAACTCAGGGGTTTGATGAATCGGTCCTCTCTCTCCATATCTGGAAGATGTCCTCAAATTCATGTGCTGTGAAATCCATAAAGGCAGCAGGCAGAAGGCACACCCGCGATTTCGGCCGCCGGCGAAGAGCAGCTCTGAGCACCGCGCCGTACATGGCGATCACATGAAGTCGAGGCTCGAGTCTCGAATACTTTTTGGCACATGAGACGTGTTGGCTTTGGGCACTTGCTTTACTTGACAGGATTCTTGTATCCGAGGCTGGGCTTCGCGGCTTTGCCTTTTCTGGCTGCGTGGAGAAAAGCACCTGCATGACATCATGACGCGCGGTTCATGGTCTGCCAGTGGGCTGCCCTCGTGGGCCGGAGCGACTTTGCACTCCCCGCTTGAGATGTAGGCGAGCAGAGGCCGGAAGGATAGGTGGACCCCCATGCCCAAAAATAGCAGAAGCTTTCGAATGTGAATTTGGCTTCCCTTTCAACAACTCAAATCGGGGAATCCGGGGAATGATCCGCTTTGGCTCCCGCTCCCCAAATCAATCATTTTTGAGAACGTGCGATACAAGTAGGGACCGTTTTGGGACCCGTGTTTGATTCACCAGCATGTGTTGAACACGAAACAAAAACATATTTGGCTTCCTTTCGGCCATGGTTAAGCCAACAACTAACGCTGCGGCTGTCCTTCTGGCCTCCTTTGCCTTTCAGGTCGAAGGTTTTTACCATGCAAGCGGTCATAGTCAGTAAGTCTGACGGCTGCCCTCCGCTCGAAAACCTAAGGCTTTTGAGGGGGGACGTCAGGGGAGCTGTCAGACCTACATGAATCAGACCCTTGCCTGAGTTGCCTGTCAAGGGGGGAGATTGGATTTGGGGAATTCCCAAAATGGGCCTGATTTTTAGTTGGGGACCCTGTGGACATCATTTAGGTGGGGTTTCATGTCCACCAACCATTTCTGAGGTGGTTCCCTATTAAACAAATCATAGCCAAGTCTGAGAAACACACCTGGCCGACATTCCCCACGTCCACGGCTGGAATTCTCTGAGCCCCTCACCTCTCCAGCCACGCGCCACTGGTCGAACTCCTCCGGTGGCACGAAGCGGGTCACCTGGCCCGAGTCCAAACGCAACACCAGCCAGCCAGCCAGCCGAGCAAAGAAGAAAAAAACGGAAAGCAAAACAGCCTCAAACATACAAACACGCCCACAATCAAATGAAAGCAAGCAAGCAAGCAAGCAAGCAAGCAAGCAAGCAAGCAAGCAAGCAAGCAGGCAAGGCAAGGCAAGGCAAGGCAAGGCAAGGCAAGGCAAGGCAAGTGGTAAACTCCACTTGCGCGATGGGGGCTTGACCAGGTATATGTGTAATTATACACCAAAGGATCCCCGAACCGCTCCGCAGTTCCAACTGCACCCTACAGGCCCCCACAGGGCCTGCCAGAGAGGGCTGCCGGGCTGAAGTCTCCAAGAACACGGCCCAAGTGGCCAGTGACCACTGCAGTGACCACCCAGTGGCCCGGGCAAGATTCTGGATTCAGGACACTGGGAATTCTGATCTTGATGCAGCCTGACCTGACTCTAACATCCTCACTCAGATTCTGGCCATCGGCCCTCGACCCTCAGGAAAACAGAAACAGTAACAATAACAAATTGTGAATTGTTACCAACATTTTGCACAAGGGTTCACAAGAAGTCGGGTGACTGACGGTGACTGAGTAAGCAGTGAGCAGCACCAATTGTTTCAGTATCAATCAATCGATGTCTTGTTCGAACTAGTTCTTGGCATCGTTGTTTCCAATCGAGAAATAAACACAATTTGAACGGGCAAATTGGCGAAAAGGGTAAGAAATTGCCCGGCTGCCAAATCATTCGAATCGTGTCAAAAACTTAGTTCATTTAGTTCTGCACCGAGCCCACCCCTGCAGCCCCCGGCCCCAACCCCCAAGCAATGCAAAATGCAAAAGTACAAGTGTTCCGGACAACTGGATAACTCTTCGACTCCTCTTTAATTGACTACTCTTCAACTCTGGACAAACTGATGTCGATGGTTGATCAAGTTGATCATTGAAATGGGCAAGTTTGCTGAACCGGCTGACAGTGCTTTTTCCAGCGGTCAATCTATCTTACATCCTTCTGACATGGCTGCCACGGCCGCCATGGCCCGTTTGGGCTGGCAGCAGAAGCATCGCCTGGCCACGCAAGGACTGGGGTAGCCGGGGTGTGGGTTGAGTTGAGACCCCTTTGGGCCTTTGGGCCCCTTGGCCCCTTGACTCATTTACTCACATAGGCTCACATGCATGCTGTCAGCGTTAGCTTTGCACTTTGTTCACACGCGCACCTCACTCGATCAGGCTTTTTAAAGAGGCCTTCGGCTATTGGGGACCTTGCAGTGCAGTCGCTTGCAATCGCACGGCTGCAGCCTTGCAATCGCACGCGCTAATTCAATGTAGCAGTTGTGGTTGTGGTGTATGCCGCGTATGCCGTGCCTACGATGTTCCACCTCCCCGCCAAGCTCAATCAAAAAGTAACGGATACACTGCGTAGCTGTTGGTCAAAAGACTTGAAAGACTTGGGAAGTTGGGAAATTGAAAACTGAAAAGCCAAAGCTGCTGAAGCCGAATAACTGGGTTGAGTTGAGTTGTGTTACCTGCTGGGGAAACTTGGGAAACTACAACTGCCACAGGCAGAGCCAAGCTGTCAACGTCCTTGCCACTTTCAGCAGCACTAGGCTCACATAGAGGCATACCCAGGCTGCGCGAAACGAGTGGCCCCACATGGACGACAGGCAAGGCTGCCCTTTTCACATTTCTGACGCTACCGAACTTCCGATGCATGAGTAAACACGCGTGTGTCCACCGCCGCCGCCCCCTACAAACATTTAAGCATGGCCTAGCAACAGTGACAAGTTCAATCAACCAAGTTCAACTTGAACCTCGACTCGAGTCTGTTGTTGCATAACAAGTCGACTTTTGAAAGTATGAGTCAAGTCTGGGTGTGAGTATGAGTCTGAGTAAGTGGGGGGTCAGTCAGTTACAGGCATGCTCAGCTCAGCACACTATGCCAAAACCTTGAACATGGAAAACAAATGAACAGCAGTCTCAAACAAGCTCAAATCAGCGCAAAAGATGCGCACAATGCTTGGGCGCGTTGCACCTTTGCAAGTTGCTTGTTTCGACAGCATCCTCTTCTTTTTGAGGAGTCGGAGTCTGTTCATCCAAACGCCGCGCCAACGCAAGCCCTCCAATCGGAGGCTGCAATGACGGGGCTTTAGCACCTTTCGCAGGTTTCTTTACCGCGCTGGCTTCGTCCTTCAGATTAGATCGCGTGCACAATGTCGGTGGGGATGTCGCAGTCGGCTTGGGCTTCTTCAGGATTGCAGCGATCGCCTTGGCTGCCATGGCTGTCAGGCTGTCTGTCGTCAGTGAGTCTATCAGCTGTGTGTCGTCTGTCGTGTGAACATGGCATGTTGTCAAAAATTTCGATTAGTTCTAGACGACTCTAGAATCATCGAATCATCGACCGTGGATCGACTGTATCGACTCTATCGCCTCGCTGTATCCGTCTCCGTCTCTCTCAGCGGTCTCTGTCTCTGCGTTTGTGCGGTTGCGCGGTGTGTCTATGTCACATATGTCTGTCTGTCTGTCTGTATGAATGTGTCTCTCTGTCACTGGTCACTCTGAGTCAAGCTGTCTATTAACAGTCTAACAGTCTAACAACCGTGTCTATGTGTGTGTGTGTGCGTCACTGTCTGTGTCTGTGTGTGTCAAAGTGTGTCTCTGTCATGGAGTCATGGAGTCATGCAAGCAAGGCGCGTCCGGCCGGAGCTCGACAAACATGCAGGTCAAGTCAACCTTCACGTCGGCGCCTTGCCTTGGACAGCTGGGAGGGGCACCCTCCACACCCCCACCGGGCCCCCCCACCCGGGCCCCCACCCCCCACCCTCTGGCGGGCCACTCCTCCGTTTGTGTGCGGAGGGGGGCTCTCCACAACAAGGGCGGCTATGAGGCCACGTCATGTTAATTTGGCAATGAATGAATATGTCAAACAACCAGACTGCGGGACTAACATTTCTATCCTTCCTTGTGGGTCCAGGAGTCCCAGGTCCAAGGCACGTGTCTTGGAATGTCTTGCTGATGGTCTCCGTGCTGGACAAACAGCATGCCTTCTGCGCCTCAAACCCATTCTTCATCATCCAGAACGGGTGTGGCAAGAGCGAGGTCTGCTTGTTCCAGCCATCGCCATGCATGTAGTAGGATATGACAAGCCCGTTGGGGAAGACTGCATCCGCGACCTGTCTCCCACATGCGTCAATGCCAATTCCGTGTCTCCCGCAATTCCGTTGGCGCCAAGTGAGTCCACGTGACTGTCAACGCAATGCTGCAATGAGTCAATGAGTCCAATGAGTCAGTCTGCATCATAGAATCATAGAATCATAGACTCTAAATCTATATCTTATTACTTATCTATCACTGCACTCGACTCGGTCACCTTGCCTCACGCCTAGCACCGCCTAGCACTTAGCACCTACTAGCGCCGAGCCCGGCCTTGAAGTTCTTCCACGACGCTTCGGTGGTGACTGACCCGCACACGTGCAGTCGCCGTTCACTCGCAGCATCGGGGTGGAGCATTCTCTCAAGTGCGCCACTCTCATGTTGGTTGAACAGCTTGTCCACCGCCAAAACCGTCAACGTTCCCTTCGTGTCTGCCTGCAGCAGCTCCAACAGCCATGTTGGGCCGGCCCTGGGCAAGATTTGGACGGCCCGAGACCCAAGACTGCGACGCGACAACGTGCAAATGAAATGTGCTCTGACTCCATGACTCCATGAGTCCCATCGAAATCTAGTCAAATCACACTCTGGCAGTCTGAGTGCCGCACGCAACTTTTGCCAAGAAGAAGTTCTCGATCTGCCTCTGAATATGCATGATGTCGATGACACGCATTTTGCCAGAGCCAGATACAGCTGTAGCTGCTAGGGCCGGGTCCGCCGCAGCAGCATCGGGCTTGACATCGCACAGGCTGTAGATATCCGCGAATGAAGGCTGGCCTGCATCATCGGACGCTGTAGGCTGGCGACCCTTGTTGGAGGGCTTTGAGCAGCCGTCTGACGATGCGGTGCCAGCCGCAGCCGCACGCCCGGAAGCAGCAGCCAGCTCCTGCGCTTGGGACTCTCGCAGCAGCTTGGCGAAAATGTCATCCACCCCTCCACCCGGAAGGGAAGACGATTCCTGAGCAATGGCGCCTCGCGCCAATGACTGCAGCATGGGCCGCACCTATGGGCGCGGACGGTCTATGTCACATGTCTACAGTCTAGAGTCTAGAAGAGTACTATAGTCTACAGTCTACAATCTACAGTCTGCAGGCTAGGCTAAAAATTGCAAACCCTACCGACTCTACTCTACAGGCTGTCTACAATCTAGAATCTAGAGTACACTGCAGTACAGCCTCCAGTGGTAGCCTCCAGTCTCCAACCTACATCAAATCTATAAGTCTATAGACTAAGACCAAGGTCTTTACCAAGTCTTTACCCTACGTCACGTCCTTAGCGTGCTTACCATCCCCACAACACCTGCTACCCTGATTCTCTTGTTTGCACAGCCAGCCTTGCTCCAATCCTTCATGAACTTGTTATTGATGGTGATGCCATTGCCAAAGGCGAACCGCAGCGCAAGGGAGATGGCGCTGGCAATGATGAGGCGGGGCTGTAGACCTCGAACTTAGTCTCATTCATGCCCGTCGCCTTCCTGACGGCAGTCAAGACATCATCCAGCCATTTGCGCTGTCGCTGACCACCAGTCATTGGCATCACAATGTCAGCCTCAAGATCTGCAGCTTGCTCCTCCTCTCCATCAGCTGCAGCCGCGTTCTTCCGAGCCTTGAGTGATGCAGACTTTGCTTTCGCTTTTGCCTTCGACTTGGGTTTTGGTCGCTTCCCATTGGGCTCTTCAGCATCAGCAGGTTCCAAGTCGGGCGCGCGCGCCCTCTTCTTTGAAGCCGCTTCAGAAGGCTCAGGCTTGCCAGGGGCAATCTTGCGCACAAAGATGGCGCCGGCCACGATGCAGTTCAGCTTTTCCTGCGCCTGCGCCATGAGCTGTGACTCACTCCCTCGGTTGAAGACGTAGAGCGGCCTTGACGCCAAAGCCACAATGAGACTCTGGGATTGCGATGAATGAGCTGAGCTTGGCTGCTGCTTGTTTGTGTTCGACTTATCAGCTCCGTCGTCAGGCTGCAAAAGCGGAACCTGAGCTAGACAACATGTCAAAACGCTCAAAACTTCCAGATTACAAACCCGTCGTCCAAGTGAAACTCAATCATCGCCTGCCTCTATGGTCTGCTGCTATCTGCTATCTATCTACTATCCTATCGACTATCGACTATCGACTCGCTATCGACTATCTACCTGTAAAGCTTTTGCAAATAGATTGCGCATTGCCGCATTTGTTGAAAGCTACTCATGATTACGTTTATGTGTCTGTGTCACGGTGTCTCTCTGTGCGTTTGCTTTTGACTGCTGTTGTCAGCTTGTCAGAAGTCCTAACACTGGCTGGCTGGCCGTCCGCTGGCGTTGGCGCTACGATTCTACTTTTCTACTCAGGCAACCGGCGGTCCGGCGGTGAGTGACAACCGGACCAAATTGTCTGCCTGCTACATCCGAGGATGCCTCCAAAAACACTGGGGGCGCGGCGCAGAACTTGGAAAGCTCCATAAGGACATATCCCAGCTCTTCCGGCGCATAGGACCCAGAAAACATTTCAATGCAGGCGCCAAAGGTGTTCATGTTCCGCACAATGACTTCAGGCTTGCTCATGTCTGGAGACAGGAAATCCGCCTCTCGACTGAAAAAGTCCACCCAAGACTCGAAGATGCGGAAGTGCCGGAGTTTGTTCTTCAGCGCCTTCGCAAACTTGTAAGACTCAGGACCGTACTTCTCCTTGCGCAGCGGGCTCCAACGGCTTGGCGGACGCAGTAGTTCATGCCCCCAAAAACTCAAAAGCCTAAAATTCCAAAAGGTGTTCACAATCGCTCGTTGAGCCTCAGCCCTGCCTAACTGCTAGTCGCCGCCGAGTTGCTAGAGTCTACATCAAGGGGCCCGAATCAAGGGGCTTTACAATTAGCAACTGGAATGTGTGTGGAGCGCGGGCCTGCGTGGCACGAGCACAAGTGTCACAGTGACTCAGTCTTAATAAACAAGCGGTCCTTGTATTCGGATGACTGGAGCCATCTGCCAAACTCGTCTCGGACATTCTCCACGTTTCGATTTGTGAAGCCCCGCCGTTCCATGTAGGCTGTCCACGCCTACGGCCAACGCAGCCAACGCCCAGCCAACGCAGGGCCAATGTAGGGGCTTATGTTTGTACAGTGTTTATGAGTCTATGAGTCTATGAGTCAATGAGTGTATGTTTCTGAAGTTTATGGTTCAAGTTCAAGGACTTCAAGGTTCAAGGTGCAGCAGGACGCCGCTGACTGACAAACGAACTGTCACAGACAGCTGGGCCAAGGCCCCTGCATCTTCCACGTGCTGAACCTCCTCCACTTGCTCCAGAAAGCTGATGCGTCCTCCCTCGTGGAACCGGTTGTTCAAGTCGCGCAAGAACCTCAGTTGAAGTGAAACGCCGCGAGGATCAGCTTCAATCAGCTTTGAATTCTGGCTCGGGCCAAGAGTCAAGAGTCAAGAGTCTGAGTTGACGAGTTGACAGTCAGTCAACAGTGAATCAGTGAAGATTCGAGTGAGTCAAGAGTCAAGAATCAAATCAAGAGAGTCAAGAGTCAAGAGTCAAGTCAAGAGTCAAGAGGCCAGTCAAGAGGCTGAGCTGAGGTCGAGCCAACAACGACTCGACAACTCGACAACTCAACGCAAAGCTCACAAGTTCACAAGTCCTCTTGTCGTCAAGTCTTCAAGTCAACAAAGCAGGAATCAACCAACCAGCCAAGCGACACCAGCACGTCGTCAGGAGTCTTGCTTGACAGGACCCGACAGTTGGCCAGGCCAGTCTTGCGGGTGGCCTTTACCTGCGGATTCTGGGGAGCCTCCTTCGAAGCCAGGTAGAAGGCCTGCGACCTAACACCGGGCTGGCGAGCGACGAGCGAGAATATGAGTAACACAGCAACACAGTCACACAGACTGACACTCATAACTTCCATATTTCATGTCATATATAGTAATATAGTAGTAGGCCCTAGTAGGCATTAGAAATACAAACTGAACGCGGCAGTGGTTGGCCAGTGGCCACGACGTAGCACGACAGATTGACAAACTTGTTCAGCATGCCTGAGCCTGACATAACTTAACTCAATCAAAACATAACTGTCATAACTTCATAACCAGAACTTCATAACTCGTGACTCGTGACTCGACTCATAACTTAACTCATAACAGAGACTGAGAGCCGGAGGCCGGAGCAGGCAAACGGCAAACGGCACATGAACGTAATGACTCACCATAAACAACTGATTGGCAAACAATCAAACAAGCACACCAGCCAGCCAACCAAACAAATACAACCAACCAAACAAACAAGCAAACAAACAAGCAAGCAAGCAATCAAGCAAACAAACAAAACAACCGTACCTTAACAACTTAACAACTAGCGACTAACGACTCACGACTGTAACAAGTTGTATAACATTGTATAACCGTCAACCGTCAACAGTTTAACAAGCAGCTGCAATGAGGAGGCAGGCAGGCGAGCAGTGAGCAGGCAAGCAGGGAAAAAAGAATAGGCAAATTTAGACAGAGCATTTGCATACTACTTACCGCTTATTACCACTTACCAGACTTACCACCACTTACCGACTTCCCACCCGCATACGACGCATGCAGCCGCATTGCATACACAACCGCCGCATATGGTTAAGTTAATCAAGCTAGCTGAAGGCTCACACATCCGAATGCCAAGTGAAGTCTGAATTGCGCCGTGATCCTAGCGCAACCAGTGCCAGCACAACCAGCAAACAAGGTTGAAACAGAACACGCACGCACACACACACACACTGCACAAACACACACTCACACTCACACTGTGTCACACACACACACGCACTCGTGAACCGCGTCCGCGTGAGCATCACTGCCAATGTCGAAGCCAAAGGCCAACGGCCAACGGCCAAAGGCCCTGGCAGCGTGCCGTAGGTGATCGCAAGATACGGCTGCCCAGGGGCACATGGCCTGAGCGACGAAGCGACCGTGGGTCAGGACGGTCAGGTCAGGGCCGGCCCATGTGAGCATGTCTTTGGGGCCTCCCGCATCTTAAGCAAAACCCAAAATACTTGCGAAGTTCAAGGTCCAGGTTGAGTCAAGCTGGAAAGTGCAGCAAAAGGCGTGACAAAGTCTTATCATCCTAACAACCCTTGAACTTGCACCTTTCCTGTCTCCTCTCTTTCTACGCCAGGCTGCTCCACCAACCACGGCTCACCGCGACATCCCTCGAGAATGCCATGGTGGCAAATCGATCGCTTGTAGCGGTCCCGCACCACCACTTGTCGTCGCTGGTTCTTGGGGTGTCGGACCACGTTCTCCGCCCCAGTTTCCGTATACCAGGGAACTGTTCGCCCAGAAGCCACCTAGTGCGGAAGTTTCATCGCCAAAGGAAAAAGACTCAAGACTGGACTTCAAGACTCAATTGAGTTGCTACTCGCTCAAGGGATCAAGGAATCAAGGAACCACAAGTTGCAGTCGTTATTACAGTAGTTACAGTCCGGTTGCAGTTACAGTTAGTGACCAACCAAACCTTCAATTTCCACAACCAACAGTCACACACAACACCGTCAATGGTCGAGTCATGAAATCTGAAACCCGGGAAACTAACCCACCCGTCACCCCGCCCGCCTGATATGTTCGGAAAATTTGGTCTTGAAGTGCTCGGCCAGATAGGTGGCCAAAGCGCTCTTCAAGTGAGCGAGCCCCCCACAAAACATCTTGCGCTTGCCCCAGAAGGTCTCCCCCATGCCTGCTCCTGGCAGGAGATGCCACAGCGCCACCGCTTCCTGCTCCTCCACCTGATCCAGATGTCCAGCTTGAGCCGTCTTTGGTCAACCTTAGTGCGCGGCTGCGCAGGCAAGGAGAGTCAGGCCCGGTACGAGCTACGGTTGCGGGGTCCGGGCTGGGGCTAAAACCAACGGTTGCCAACGGGAAGAGACCGGGAAGAGACCTTAAGTGGAACAACATGTTGTAATAAACGTTGTCAGGTTGTCAAATATGAATCAGCAATGAATCAAAGTCTTTCTGTTTCTGTTGAGCGATGTGAGTTTCTTTGCAAACTCAGTCACTTGGCACACTTGGTTGAGAGTTCAGAATTCAATGTTCCAGCTGCCAACCTTCGAGCGATTCTTCAAACCTTCAAAACTTCAAAACCCAATCTCAGTCACAAGGCCGACAAACAGCTGACACTTGGGCTGACACTGACACTCAGAAACTTGGGGCCCCGCATCACTGCGCCCCCTCCTCAATTGGGAGCCAACTCCAGATTGAAACCTGTCAAAGTGCCAGAGCCAAAATAGCTACGAGCCATCAAGTTGGGTCAGGTAGGATTGCGCTGCACTTCTGCCACTGCATGTTGTTTGCAAACAAAAAACATACAGGACCAACCTTTCAACAGCGGTGTCAAATCGGTGTCAAACGTGTGGCCATTTGGGCATGGCATCATGGCAAGGCAATCGAATGTCCATTGCATTTTTTGTCCATGGTCCAGTTCCATCCCGACCGCGTTGCGCCTCTGAGTCTCCGATTAGATCACGGAGTCCGGTCGAAAGCATTTCTATTGTCACTTGATTCACGCACTATGAATCGTAGCTATGAACTAACCATGGATAACCATGACCCTTCGACTCTTCGACCCTGGGCTCCATGATTCAACGATCTATCATCTAGTAGTCTAGGATCCGTTATCACTGTAATTATGGCAGCGGACTGAGGTCTTAGCCTCGCCTCTCAGCCTTCTATCCAACTTCTACAAACCCCTGGTCCCCCTGGCCTGGTCATGCAAGCATTAGCACGCTGCGGGCGCAAGTTGCTTTGACCACAGCAACTGCGCACTGCTAGCGCAAGTACCCCTGGGCCTTTTGGCGGCCCTTGGCCCCTTGGCCCAGTGGGCCCCAGGAACCCCTTGAGCACGCAGACGCAAAAACAACATATCACAATAAGCGCTGGCTGATACCGTTGATAGTTGATAGTAAGTTGATACTGGTACCTTGAAACTTTGCGTTGAAACTTGATACTTCCATTTACATTGCGCTGCACTGCGACTGCGCGCCTTTGTTAATTCGTTTTGCAGTTTCAATTGATGAATGAGTTGAGTTGTCAGTTGTCATTGACGTGGTCATGAGTCATGATCATCATGATCAGCGATTCATGCCACTGCGAGGCCACACCATTGTTTGGGATTTGAATTCTGCTATGTCAAGCAGAACGGAGCCGCTTAGATACCCGAAACAGAAACGGAGCAATGGCGCTTGACTCTTCAGACCCTGGCTCCACTTGAGTGACTGCATATAGGATTGCAGTTGCAACCGACTGTACATGCATCGCATTGCCCATTTGGCCAATCCTGGAGGTACGGTCACCTCGATCAACGCACTCGCGGGTGGCGTAGCTGCACAGGGGGACACCGCCAGTAAGCCCGGCATAGGCTGGGAACCCTTGAGCAAAGGCTGCTTCAACACTTGTAAGGAAGCGCTTGTGGACGTCTGACCTTAGTTCTTGCGAAGGGCCCCCCCCCCAGTATCCAAGAAGGTTCAAGTTGTAGAACTCCAAGAAGTTGAAGTAAGTTGAAGAATCTAAGTTGAAGAATCTGAAGAATGTCAAACTGTTTCACATCAGAAGCTCAAATGCGCCATACGCAGCCCAAGAAGCCACAACACCCCCGCATTGCGAATGATAGTTCCCATGACTGAATCAGTGCTGGTCGTTTCGCTGAAGGAAGGGTTCTGGTTCAACTGGTACACCAAGCCTGGCTCACGCCGGTATTCCAATAGAAACTCCTTCTCAGTATTTGTGAGGACTCTGAAGAATTCCTTCAACACTGCGTCGGGTGAGGATTCAAGGGCGTGGCTGAAGCTTTCGAAGTCTTGAAACGCACAGTCTCCGGTGTGTGCACGAGCTCGGGATTCTGGCCTCTGCGATGCCCACGTTAGCTCCTCATACATGTCCTTCTCACTGGCGCAGAAGAAAACATCATAATCAGGTCGCCGATGGCCGCATTCAGTTGTCCAAGAGTTCTGGTAGCCCATGAGTGGTGGAGCAGTAAACAGATTTGCAAAGATGTTCCTTGGCTGAAGGGCTGAAGGAATGTTGAATCTTGAACTTGAACTTTGCAGTGGACAGTCTGACAGTGGACAATCGACAGTTGAGGGGAACAGTGGAACAGTGGATGGACAGGACAGTGGAAAGAAGAAGTTAAGAAGTGTACTATACAGCTAAGAAGAAGAAATGCAGAAGTGAACCAGTGAACACAGTGAACACGTTGTTTTGTTTCGCTCAGCAAATCAGCCACAAACATATTCAAACAAAAAAAACACAATTGTTGGTTGAAGTTGGTTGAAGTTCATTGGCTTCACTTCAACTTCACTTCATTTGTCCATTGTCCATCCATTGGTTGCCGGTCGCCGGTCGCCGCATCGCCGGTCAGTCACCCGTGTTTCAATCTGATTCAATTTGACTCAATGATCGTGAGGGTGGGACTCGGGAGTTCCGAGTCGACAAGTTGACAAGTTCACAAGTTTCAAGTAGCCAATGGGCAAATTGTCCACGTGGGTTCCCTTTCCTAATTTCCACCCAGGAATGCATGACTCAGGACTTGCCGAAATGAGTCTAAATCAATTCAATTGATTCAACTAACATCAACACACTCAGACTCAATCCAGCGAAGCTTCCAGGGGCATCTGAACGCGCGGGTTTTGTAGCGGTGTCTGAGAATGCTGTAGCGGCGAACCCTGTGAATTGGCCACCCCAGTGACTGTGCATCCAAAACGTGGGATTCACAATGATAAAGCGACCCAAGCATCATGTGTAAGGCTGCAGTGTCGAAGGATTGCACATTCTCATGGACAATCAATGCCTCCTGCAGCTGCAGTCGTTGCCCGCACCATGCTAGGTATACTACATAGCTCTTTCCGTTCTCCTGAAGACGAAGCCCACGAGCAGAGTAGTCTACGCACGGTGATCCTGCGCAGTGGAGCTCAGCCGTTGCGGCCTGTCCGGCGGGGCCGAGTGGGACGGGCTGAATTGAGGGTCGTGGGTCCAATTGTTCAGCAAGGTTCGTGATGGTTCGTGAACATAGAGACTTAAAAACTTAAACACTTCAAGTCTTAAAGTCACTTAAAGTTTTGCCATCCATCCCGTGACATAACAACACAACAGGTATGATATAACAATATATATATATATAGCACAGAACTTGTCGCTGGTACACTGGCGTAGTTGACTGGTACCTGGTACACTGGTACACTGGTACAGACTGGTATACTTACACTACACTGGCTACACTGGTACACTGGTACACTGGCACTACTAATCCCTTTGGTCTGGTTTGTTGTAGGTTCAAAAGCCGTGCCTCGCAAACTCTCCCGTGCTTGAGACAGTAGGCTGATCTACCAGTTGATTGGCCAGACTGCACCAGCGGCACAAGCACGGAGTGAACCAGGTTCTGAGCAATCAATGAGTCAAGCCGATTGCGCACTGCCGGCGTGAAGAAATCAAGCATATCCTTGAAAATGTGATCCGGGCCAAACGGATGAAGAGAAAGCTCATGCTGGCTTTTTTCCAGCACTTCCACTGCAAACAAGTTGGGCGGAGCAGGAACTCCAAACTCATGCGCGACCTCCACCTCCACA